ATTTTTTGTGGGGTTTCCTACGCCTCTAGCTGTCTTTGTGGGTTTCTGTAGGCTGGAGCTGAATTTTTTGGGTGGCTACCAATTAACTTGTGGCTTGGAATCTGTGGACGGACTTTTGTGGCAATTATAATGGGATATAATTCTGGTTGAAATGTTTTTTCTAGCAGCTGAATGCTTTTAAAGGTTGTGATAAAGTTTCTCTCCCCATGGAAACGACGGTTGGGGACGACCGGCCACTCGACTATCCTTCGAGCCTGGCATCGCACCACCACCACATCCTGAACCGCAGAAATACACACAGCACAGCGAGAAATAGACAAAGCGAAAACTTTGCTTGTTTGTCATGTTTGGTTTTTGGTCTACAGCTCGCCAATTTGCGAAACAATCCAACCGTAAATGTGCGCCTCTCTCTTCATCTCCCTCTATCTTTATCTCTATCTCTGTCTCTGTCTCTGTCTGTGTGACAAAATCCCTTTTGCATCTCTAGCGCTTATAGCGCTTTAATTAAGTTCGACTTGAGCCAGATTGTTAGACCAAGTTGTGTGTGGCGTCTGCCACCCTAAAAACCTGATTGAAAGTTGCAAAAATTGGTGTCAACACATGGCCCAAAACCCAACCAATAGTACTCTCCAATCTCCATCTTTATTCCTGTAGAAGTTTTTAGCATTTCATTAAAAACTTTATCCAACTGTTTGTCGATTGTGCTGCCACGTGTGTGTTTGCACGTTGCCCGACAACTACCTACAATTGAGAGTGTTAAGGATAGATTGCGGCTTTCGGCTAGAAAACTTACAAAGAAAAACAAAATGGCTAAAAGTCAAATTGAGCTTTCGAAATGAGTTTGAACGAGCAAATGATTTGACTTGCTGACAGATTGACATCAGACTCAATTGCTCTCAATGTGTATAACATTATTAGATAGTTGTTAAGCTAATATTTATCTAAGGGATTCTTATTGAAACCTATGGGCCAAATATGAGGCTCGGTGTTCAAGGCAGAAATGTTTCTAAATCAATAAAAAGAAAGAAAAAAGAGACAAAGAGTCAATCTAATCTGATTTATTTGTGTCGGATCTTAGAGGTATTTTGGCTACGGAGAACGACTCATGCTATTTCCTAATTAATATTCTCAGAGATTGTTTTCCCAAAGAACAATCTATTCTTATCCTCTCCGAATGTTGAAAATACAGAAGTTTGCTCGATTTCGAGAAGTCTCGAGAGAGTTAAATCGACAAACCCCAAAAGCAAACATTTGGAATGGGGATTTAAGATATAGAGAGAGAGAGAGAGAGCGAGAGCGACATACAGAGGACCACCTCCTTGCCTTGCAGACAGATAGACACATATCGCAGTAGACAACCCATGACTAATGCCACGCAATGCATTATATAAGTGCTGCTAATGCACACAAGAACATGCAGCAGAAATTGCAAATGGGGAGCGGAGCGGGAATTTTTGGAAGCTGGAAAAGTGGAAAATGAGAGAATCGCTGTGCCGAGGGCGAGGGGCAGAGAAGAGGAAGCGGAGACAGCGACATACCATTGCCGCAATATGACGCATACGCATACATTTTATGGCCAACAAATATGGTAAAAACGGGAGAGGCCAAGGCAGATACATAGTCAAAGTCTGTGGCAGTGGCAGCAGGCAGCAGGCAATGGCAGGGTGAGGCAGATTACTGTGACTTCATTATGAGCTCATGCCCGTAAAGTGCAGCAAAAGCAGCAAGCCCCAACCCCCGTAACCCGAAATAATTGTAATCCAGAGGCCCAACCAACCAACCAACGAGCGAGCGAGCGAGCGAGCGAGCGAGCGACAACTGCCAACATAAGCCAAACATTAATAATAAACAACTTACAAGCCATAAACCAATGGGATGCCGTCTACCAACAATTCCCGCGGCAGCAACGAGCCTCAAATAAATTACACCCAGAAAAATAAACAACGAGAAAAAAACCAGAGAAAATTACATTAAAAGAGCGGAAGAAAGAGAAGGGTTTGAGGGCCACCATTCAAAAAGCTGAAAACGCATTGCCAGTCAACTCCGAGGCTGCAGCACAAATGTTGGTTGGCTGTCATTGAGGCTTTTATATCCTTTAAAAAACTTCTTTATCCATCGTTGAAAGCTCGCAATAATTTGTTTGTGGATAGATTGTTCCCAGGTTTCTACCAAATGAAATAGTTACCTCAGATAATTAACCGGAACACCTACTCAAAATCCACATACCCTCTCTGCACAAATAGGGTATAGAGCATGCACAGTGAGTGCTAAAATTATGACAACAGGCGGCTGATCCTGCACTGGCTATAGCCCAACAAAAAAAAACCAACATAAAAAAAAAACGAAATGTTAAAAATGGAAAAAGAATTCTCTCAACTGCCAGCCAAAAACCAATGGAGATGGTAAAAATTGACACTGGACATGGGGACATCGAATGGACACGGACGTGGTACATGGACACGGACGTGTGGATGTGGATGTGAATGCACGATGGCGACAGACGACAGGCGACTGACTGAGGCAAAACGGGTACAGACAACAGAGGCGAATGATGCATGCCACATGCTACGCACTTTGCACGAACGCACACACACAAGAGAAGCTAACAAACCAAACTGATTCTCAGCTTCCCAAATACCTTTTCTCCCAAATCAACGAGAAGTGGGTTTTAGTTTTGGGATTTTTGGAATTGTTGGAATTTTCTGTATTTATTCTTTATTGCTAAAAAATAGTTTGCTAGCTCTGCAAAAATATTAAATAAATTCGTGGAATTGGCCATCCTATATTTCCTTCCTACATTCACCTGTTTTTCAAAACATACAAAACCATTTTTTAGGGTGTTACCAAATCGAAAACCCGAACAAAATCTTACACAAGTCGCACTGTTTTCTTGGAACATCCTTGAAAAGAAATCAGCAAAATGGCGACAATGTACAGTAAAAGGCAAATGAAATACAACAGCTAAAAAGACAAAAACAGAAGGAGAAAGACAAACCATGGATAGAGGGACGTACGAGGACGTAGATGGCTAAACAAAGATAAAAAAAATGTTTTTTGGCAAAAAGCCTTGGGATGGCACCGAGAAAAAAATTGTTAAAAACTGTAAAACTCGTATGTGTAAGTGAAAATTGGCGAAAAACCGGCACAACAAAGGGGAAAATGGACAAACCATTCTCTCTCACTCTCTGGGAAAACGCGGTGGGGGCCGGGAAAAGAGTGAGAGAGTTGCAGCAAAACGACATCGAGGAGTCCATAAGACCACAGCATGTGGCGGATCAGTGCAAAAAAATGGAAAGACCTACAATATGGGCTGAAAAGAGGTCGGGGCTCTTTTGGCAATGGGAGAGTGGAGTGGTGTGGTGTGGTGTGGTGTGGAGTGGCGTGCAGTGCCGTGGCATCCAGGAGCGATAGGAGACTCTGGTGACACTGTGTCATCTGCATACACAAAGAGTCATGCCATACCTCACACACACACACACAGCAGGATATGGTCAAGCTGGCGCACAGGCAATTGCCTGGTAGTTTTCGCCACACTCTGAGGATGACTTCCATATGCGCCACGGATTGATCCGAGAAAGAGATGCAAATATACAATTTAAACATAGATGGAGAGGGAAGGGATATGGTGGGCAAATTGGAATCTATACCTGGTTCAGGTTGAAACCCAAAAACTCGATGCAAATTGAAACAATTCCTGGTTTCATTCACAGCGGAAAATGGCAAAAGTGAAACGGATTAGATGACACTGCAGGATAAAGTCAACAGAAAAGAGAGGGAAGAGGAGTGTGAGAGAGAGAGAGAGAGAGCGAGGGAGAGATGGTGCTATCACTGGAGGCAGGCAGACAGTCTGCCAGGTGTCGTGTCTGTATGGCAGGCAGTTGATAGCCAGCGATTTAAAAAAATGGAAGGAAACTGATACTGTATTTAGGTGCTGAGAAGGAGATTTTTTGTTAGGAAGTGTTAATGGCAAATGACAAAAGGAAGGAGACCAAAAGGATATCCATGACAGAAAGGTGAAAAGGGGGACACTGTCAAGCGAACCTTTAAGATGATTTTTCGCAGATATTTTCACAGTGTTCCTACCATTTTTGAGTATATATTTCAAAATCGTATACTCCTGCTTCCTGTTGACAGCATGTTGATATAATTTTCCATTTTCTTTTGTATGTCCTCAGGTATCTTCTGCTCTAGGGTTCAACCTCAAGGCAATTACCTCTCAATTTGCAAGTCCACCTTTGACTCTTTGTGTTTAATCCTCTGATGGCAAGACAACATAGACACCCTCACACACTCCCACAGAATACAGTACAACCTGCCTATGTCAACGTGGGAGGCGGCCGCCCCAGAACTACTTATTGCATAGCCAAACAAACAGATTATTTGGCAAATAAACCAAACAAACAGACCAAAGAACTTACTCATGGCTTTTGCTCCACAGCTCTCCATGTTCAGCTCCTCAAGCCAGGTCGCCTCCTAAAGTGCAAACAATCAGACAAAAGGAGCGCCACAGTACCACAGTAGCACAGCACCCAAAACGCCCAACGGCTTCGAAATTAATTTTAACCCCTGACTGGACTAGGGCAGGGCAGAACAGGCCGAGAGAGAGGCCAGTCCAGGCCAACTCTGTTGGCTTTGCTTAACTGATTAAACCCCTGAATGGGAATGGCCAGGATGCACAGGGACATGGTAGAGAGGGCACGAGAGTTGGTAATGGGTCGGACCGTCCCCAAAACCCCAACCGCAAAATGGATAAACGAGGAGCAGGAGGTGGAGGCGGAGGAGAAGGAGGAGCAGTAGTCCCTTCGACTATCTCTCATGAATCAAAGCATAAAGTAATGGCTAAAGTTTTCAGAGAAGAGTCAGGGGGATCGTGTCAGGCTTTTGCAGACTGGACAAACTAAATATATATATGTGCTTATATGGACTCCAAATAGCTCTAGGGTATGGGCATCATGAGCGTAGAAAAACTGTACAACAAATGTCATAAAACGGCCACTCACCTCGATAAACTTTGCTGCGTTTGCCAGCGGCAACGATTTGTTGTTGCTGTTGTTGTTGTTGTTGTTGTTGTTGTTGTTGCTGCTGCTGCTGCTGCTGCTGCTGGACTGTTGCAACGTCCAGTTGCAGCAACAAACGAGGAGCCGAGGCTGCTGCGGCGGCTGCTGCTGCTGCATTTGTCACAGCAGCCACTGCCGCCGAATGTTGCTGATGTTGCCCATGTTGCTGATGATGATGATGAAGCTGCTGCTGCTGCTGCTGCTGCTGTTGCTGTTGTTGCTGATGATGAAGATGTTGCTGTTGCTGTTGCTGCTGCTGCTGCTGCCCCAGATGGGGATGGGGATGATGGGCATGAGCATGTGGATGGGGATGATGTGCGTGTGGATGGGCATGGGCATGATGATGGTGATGGGATATGGCGCCATTTGGCCCTGTCCCTGCTGGTGGTCCATGTGCCGGGCAAAAGCTACGATATTCCCCATTGATGTCTATGTAAATTGGCGCCTCCACAAGTGGCCAAGCGGCGCCAGTCAAAGATGTTGCCGCTGTCGGAGCTGCCACTGCCACAGCTCCTGCTGCCCCAGCCACTGTTGCTGCTGTGGGGACGGCTGCACCTACTGTTGCTGCTGCTGCTGCTGCTGTTGCAGCTGCCACGGCTGCAGCACCTCCTGCTGTTGGTGTCAAGGTAATCAATTGCACGGGCAGCAATTGGGCGCCATTTCCCGTACCCGCTGGCAAATGAATGTGTGGCATGCCGCCATGTTGAGCACAATGTTGCTGTTGTTGTTGCTGCTGCTGCTGCTGCTGCTTGGGGGACAACTGTTGCTGTTGCATGAGTGGGAGCTGAAGCTGCTGCTGTGGTGGCTGCAGCATTTGCTGCTGATAGTAGACCGTTGTCTGCTCATAAGCAGCATAGAGCGTGCTGGTGCTGGTGCCGTTGCCGTTGCCGTTGCCGTTGCCAGTGCCGCTCTGCGATGTCGTTGTCGTTGTAAGTGACATGTTGCTGGTGGTGGTTGCTCCCACTGCCGATTGTCGCAACTGCTGTTTGGCCTTCAGGGCGGCTGGCTGAAAGGGTGGCGCCAATGGTGTCAGATTCGATTTATATGCCTTAATCAATGCACTGCTTGTGGATGCTGCTCCCGCTGCTGCTGCCACAGCGGCTGTGCTGCTTGTGGAGGGATTTTGATTTAGTTGCTCCGGTAAATCCATTCCATGCGGTTGTTTATGACCCGGGGCTGACACACGATTATCGTTGCTGCGATTATTGTTGTTGTTATCGACTATTGGAATGTTTGCTGGAGATTGGTAATGGGTGTGATTGCCTGACCGATCGATTACCTGATAACTTTCACCGATGAAAGTTACCAAATCGTGGCAGGCCTGGTGCAGTTCTTGTGATGTGCCCGCGACCGGTCCTTGGACAACACCAACGTCCCCATCATCATCATCATCATCATCGCTCTCGATGACATGTTCGATAATGCGAAAATTATCGTAGTCAATGATGCGTGCATAGCCCATCTCTAGAGCAAGTCCTGTCAGACGGGCCACATTATCGATCTGATCTTCCTCAGGCTGTTCTTGCTCTGGTTCCACTTCTTGCTCCTCTTTCAGCACCGCTTCCTCAACCTGCTCTGGTTCCACTTCGTCCTCAGATTCTATATCATCTTCCTGTTGTTCAGTGGAGTTTGGAATGTGTCCCTCGACAGCATCAATATTTGGCTCCTCCAAAACTTGTCCATCACTAACGACATTCTCTTCTATAATATCGTTATCTAAACAATTGATGTTTTCACCGTTTGGTATATTATCAATGTTGTTATCATTTCGTATGCATTCTATATTATTATTGCATGTAACACTGTCGATATTGTTATCGATGTGCCTAATATCGATATTTGTGTGGGTTTCAATAGCTCCATTATTTCGTATACCATTGATTGCTGGTGTGGCTGTTGCCTCCACTTCCGTCTCCGCCTCAGCTTCAGCTTCCTCCACAATTTGAGCTAATTTGGTCCTAACGGGTTTGACCTCCGATTCATCATCTTCATCTTCATCAGCATCGCCATCCGTTTGGGTGCTGCTGTCGATAAGTATCGTGGCTGTCGAGCCATAATAATCGCACTCCTCACACACCAAATCCACTTTTCCATCTTTCGCCTCCACGTGACTGCTGACAGTTGCTGTGGCTGCCATTGTTTAGATTTTGAGTCCTATAACTTTTGTAGAGTCCCTTTTGATTGGCTTTAATCTAGATTTTTGTCATTTAAGTTCATGAAAAAATGCAAATTTATGTTCTGTTGCGACAACAACTGTTGCATATTGTTGTGATTGCTGCTGCTGCAAGGCAATAACATATTGCCGTTGTGTGGTTGTCCCGATGCTGGCTTTTTGATCAAATTAAGACACACAAGTACAGGCTTCAAGGTGCTTCAAGGCCAAGTTTTTGCCCTCAATTATTTACACCTGTTGGATTGCTACCTGCAATGAATACAAAAAAAAGGCAGTAAGAATATTGTTTAACTAAAGGAGTTTTTCACTTTCTATCAACTTTTCCCTCTCAAGTTTCGAGTCAAAAAGTTTGTAGTCTCCCACCCCGCCTCTCTCACCCTTTTGGAAATTGTTTATTGAAAGCTATAAAATATTTATTTTAATTAAAAGCAAATCATAAATTCAAGTAGACCAGGAGGGGAGTCTGGCTCCCTGTTGCCCTGGCAATTGTTTGTCTTGAATGTAATGCACAACAGATGGGAATTTCCTGTCCTTGTTTTCGTTAAAACAAAAGTTAAAAGAGGTTACAATATATATATACATATCGAAAGGCGTTCACATGAAAGCACAGCGGCAGCAGCAGCCGTAAATATTTGCCCAGGAAGTCAACTTTAAAGCGCTGTCAAAATACAATAAATTAAATTGCATTTTCTTTATGAACTAAACGCATTCGAGTGAACGAGTAAATAATATTCTTTATTGCAATTACATTTAAACAAAAACATAAAAAAAATGTATTCATGGGGATTTTCTCCGTTTGACCCAATTACAAAGGAATTTACCATAAAAAAAATACATAAATTGAAATCAAAGTGATATATAAGCCAGTTAATAAATAAATAGAAAGAAAAAAACGTAAGCCCTTAATTGATGTGCATTTTGCTTTACTTGCAAATGCATTTTCCACAACGAAAATCAAATAAAATCACAGACTAGAAATAATATTAGCAAAATAAGCTAAATCTACACAATATGCAAATGCGAAATCCATTCAACAGTCTCTCTCTCACTCTCCGTGACTGCCAAGTACACCCACACACACTCACACAAATAAGGGTCAATATGCAATATGTATGCGTAAATTGCGTTTTGGTCAACAATTTCAATATTTTATGCGGCCAACCTGGCGTATGAGCAATCTCTCTCTCTCTCTCTCTCTAAGTATGTGTGAGAGTGTCCGGCCAGACACGAGCCAGAAATGTTGTCCTGGTGTCCAGAGGCATATGAATAATGCATACAGCATGGCGGTGCGGAAGTGATTTTCTATTCAATTTACACTACTTAAATATTTTGGAATGCTCGGTTTATGGCAGTTTCTGCCAAAGCTGCAGCGTATAGTATCACAAGTGTTCAATGATGATTTTATGATGAGAACATTTATCGCAATTTTATTTCAATATTTTGGTGGGGTCTACTTTTGGGGGCCAAGCCAAAAAAGTGGTGAAACGAGAATCATTTAAATGGGTCGGCAACTGATTGAATTTTTAAGGGACTAAACTTTTGAGGCACTTCCTCGATGGTAATTAGCATTTGCATTAATTTAATTGTAAGATTATAGTATAAAGAAAGCCTTCGTGTAGCCTCATATTCCTGGAAATTCACTGACTAATTTATATAAATATTTATCGATTTCTATACGTCTGATTCCGCATTAAAATACGTTTAAAAATCAATTTTAGCTAATTATCACAAACTCTTTTCATAATCATTTAAAATATTTATAACTCAATGAATTTTCAATGAAATTAATTAGATTCACCAAATTGTAATCAAATATTTGCATGAACGTGGAGAGACCATCCATTTCGACATATTTAATATGATTAAATAGGGCTCATTAAAATAAACCAAAACAATGCTGTTCGCACTCTCTGGCCAGCCAACACCTTAATTGGTCAACATTTTCAACAAATATAAATTTGCGCAGAAAAGTTTTAAAATATTCACAGGAAAAGCCAAAAGTTTGCACAAAAATTAATTAGGTAAAATTAAATTTATGGTGGCCCCAAACCACCGCCGCAAAACAACTAAACCAGGACCACCAAAAAACCAATACAAAATGTTATCTAAAATGCGTTTTTAGGATACAATTTATCGGTGGAAATGTGTGAGGCAAAAATAGGGAGAAACTGTTTACAAACTATACCACAAAATATTTTGTGAGCTCATTTTCCTTTCCGAATGCACGATTTCATAATTGAAATGCGGAAATGTGTACCTTCAAATAAAGCAAATATTTTTGCACATTCCAATAACTATTATATCGGGGGCATGAAGGTACATGTATGTACCTACATATATACATATGTAATTGTTACAAATACATATATAGCGCATAAAAATCAAAAGGGAAACCATATTTAAAATGATTCATTTTTAATTAAATATTCGCGAACATTAAAATTAATGCTGAAATGATTTAATAAGCACACTTTGGTCATAACATTAATGATAGTCAGAGAGTCAGAAGCCCCACTCTGGGGCGTTTAGTGGGCGTGGCAGCTGCCTTTATCAATAAAAAGCCAGAGTCTGAGGGGAAGGAGCCGAAGGACGTTGCAAAAAGTTTCAAAACGATGCGCGCATCGCAAACTTGAAAAAATGCAATTAAGTTGGCAGAGGCGCCAAAGGAATGGCGTTTAAAAGGGGTTCCGGGGTATGGCATGGTATAAAAAAAAAGAGATACTCCCAGTGTGTGTGTGCTGGTATCTGGTGTGAGCGTGTGGGAGCGCATGTATGGCCACAACAATAAGTAAAGCTACAAATTTAATTAGCACCGCAAGAAGCCAACAAAAAAATATTAAAAAACCACAACAATAAGTTGATATATTGCCACATGGCAAATTGCGGCATGAGGAGAGGATCTTTAGCTAGGAAAAGGTTTAAAGATAAACGAGTGTAGAGGAAAACCTAGAGGCAGCGCCTTATAATCTTTAAAGAGCATTACAACTGATAAGGAAATGTTTCATTGTAATGTTAGGGTATCTAAACCCTTCTCTTCGCTTTCTTAGTGCTTCTCATGAATAAGTTCTCGCAAAAATACTCACAAAACCAGCTTCAATAGTTTCATAGACGTTTCATTTTACAGAGGAGTCTCTCAACCATTTTTGTTTTATTCTTCGTTTTTATTTGATTTTATCAGCTATTTCGCTGTCTCTCCTTTTCTCGTATTTCGTCAAAGTGAACCTAAAACGTGTCTAGCAGATAGCTTCAGCTGAACAGACAACTCTCCGTTGACAGCCACGCTTTGTAGTAAGCATTTTTTCACACATTTCATTAACCCTTTGTCTTTTGTGGACTACCACGCCATTCCTGCAGAATCGATTAAGCTCAATTTAGAGACTTGTTAAACCAGTCACATTCTACGCATTCCATTTTCCTCGCCACAAATTCGTAGAATTTAGCATTCAGCACACACCAGAGTAAGGTTTCATGCAACATGACACCTTTTATCAACTATCAAATCCGTCCTTGAATGCAGCTTTATCTTTCGCGTATCTATGGCAATCTTAATCCCTCAAACAGTTTCGCAGCACGACTTAAGATACGCGTAAACTTGAAATTTCTTCTGATGGCCATTTCGCACAAAGTCCTTTCACGTTGACGCTGGCTTCATTTGGGCATCGTCTTACTTAATTTTTGTCGAGTACTACGAAAATTTAAAGCAAATGCTATTCCGCGCCACTTTCAACTCCAGAGAAGAGCACTCCAAAGAAGAGGAAATATTTTGTGGCAGGCACGTGAACAGGTCACACGGTGCTGTCTCACTCAAAGTTTCACTCAAAAGCATTTAGGGCTCTCCGCAGTAACAGGCTCGTACTCTCTCTCTCTCTCTCTCTCTCTCTCTCTCTCTCTCTCTCTCTCTCTTTCCCTGCCACCCACTCTCTCACGACGCATGAGTGTCAGCACCTCCCCGGCCCACCCGCATCCTGAAACATGAAAAACCGAAACCAATTTCAAGCTTTCAGCATTTCAGGACACGCAACAAGTAAGACTTCACTTTTATGACCACCGGCGGCCAGACAGCCAGGCCGCAACAAATATGCGTGCAGCCCCAGCAACAACATTGACGAAGGGGGACACGAAAACCCATTTAGGACGCCAATTTCCATTTCATAGTTTCAACGCCACCGTAGGGCATCATTTGGATTATGAGTCTGCACAAGAGATGATGCTCTGCTGACCCCGCTTTTGATGTCGTCCCACACATACGAACACACAGCTCTTGATCTTTGGCCTTTGGTGGCGTGGACTCGGCCCACGAAGCGTATGATTAATATGAGTATTAATTTGTTTTATTGCGCATACGGCACGTTGTATCTAAGATGCCACCTCGCCCCAATGATAAATTCACTGCACGCGCGCATCCACAGCACATACACATGACACGACATTTGACTAATGACAGAGGACCGTCTTCGCTTGAGAAAGAAAAAAAGAACCCATCGAAAAACTTTAATGGGGGAGTCGTAGATACACTTGGAATAAAAGCGGGAAAAGAGTCAGCGTAGGAGAGATGATAGAAAAAAAGTAGGTAAAGTATTATAACATAGCTAAATGTTGACAACTTGCTAACAAATGAAATGCAAACATGTTGCAGCATCCAGACAGGACTGGGAAATGAGTGGGACGCGACGCCTCAACGACTAGGATGATAATGATGGAGGAGCCAGGCAAAATGCAAATATACATATATATATGTGGGATCCTTAGTCGCTCCTTTGATAACAGAATGATTGAAGGGGAAAGAGAAAGTACAAGTACCGAAGATGGAATGCCCTCCCTTGTATGGTTCCAAGGTAACATATTTTCCCACGAACCTCAACCAGCTCAACATAATCAATCTAACCTTATGCCTTAAGAGTATAGCGCGCAAAAAAAAAATGAGAAGAAACTCCAGCCAAATGAGCGAGCACCGCTTAGCCTACATTTCTCCTGGCTCAAACAAAACATAGAAAAATTCCTGAAAGAAAATAAAGTTGGCACCGCAAAACGCACATTGAAATACCCTACGACAAAAACAGGGAAACAGTCACCAAATCCAGGCTAAATGTATAAATACAAAATGCAAAATCCAATAAGACAACTTTCTTACAAAAGTTTCAAGCCACAAAACTTGCAGTACAAAAAT